GTGGTTTCATTTCACTTACCTCAGATTCTTGAGTAAGATAATTGTTCAATGCTTTAGAATCTCGCATATTTTCCATTTTCTTCATAACTTCTTCATTATTCATAAGTTGCACAACGACAGACACATTATTTTGTAAAATACCGAGTTCTTGTAGTACATCTGCACGACGAGCTTTCAATTCCTACAATTTGAAGTTCTCAATCATGCTTGTTATTTATAAACATATAATTTACTTATTAAATTTATTTGTACCTCTGGCACTTCTAAGTTAGGATAAAGCTGTTTCCGAATGTCAATTGTATAATCTATCATATTTGTTTTGCTAAGAATATCGAGCTTAGCTTGAAGTAATTCGTCCTCATCGTAAATCTAAGAAGCACAAGTGTATTATAACCAAACTGTCTAAAGCAAAAATATTCTTTTTTTTTATTATACCTGTTTTGCAGATAGGAATTCCAAAAGTGGAAAAACTAAATGCCGGTCAAGATATTGACCTATACGTGATGTTAAATCGAATTTCGCCATTTCAGATCTTAAAGAAAATCGGATTAAAGCGATTCTAACCACAATCTACGGATAAGAAAGGAATTGAACACGCTCCACGTTAGCGTCGAAGAACATAGAATATACAGAGCGGAAAGATTTAACCCAACAAATGGATTGCGTTATACGTACTATGATTTGTCAAATGATGTATTATAACATATTATATATCTTTAATTATTTTATGTTAATATAATATTTCTAACATCAATGTTAAACAGATAAGTAAAGAAATATGTAATATTCTATTCGATTTTTAATTTATGCTATAAACTACTTGTTATGAAATGATCAAAAGGTAAGTAGAGTCAGATACAGTAATAACATTTATAGATACATTTTTAACATAGTTTTATTATACAACTTTATTATGAGTCTAATACTATACTACATCAACGCTTTATACTTTTATAAATAATAATTAAATGATAATGTATTATAATTACTACTTATGTTTGATGAGGTCGAAATTTCGAATTAAAAAGAATATTTCTAAAATAAAATTTATGGATAAATATATTTATGTAAGATAGAACTTGCTGAATAAAAAAGTTTAATGTGTCCAGTTCGTTTATTATCGTTCACACTTTCTTATATACAGAATATGTATTTTATGGTCCATTTCGTGTTACTACTACATGTACATTTATAAATGTATACGTGTATGAATTGTTCCATGATTCAGAAGTAAATTTCTGTACATTTGTATCTTCTGTTATTAAATTTTCTATATTTGCCATCCGTAAATACAGAAAAGCGAATGAAATGCCACCCAAAAAGGCACCTGCTCCCAGTAAGAAGGCGGAGCAGAAGAAAAAAGAGAAAGTTATTGAGGTATTTAAATACAAACATTTATAACCTTAAAATACCATATTCTTTATTTTAAACATGTATATGAGATTTGTACTGAGATTTGTTACTCTTCATATTTTTTCACTTAAATATTAATTTTTCTTCTAGGATAAGACTTTTGGTATAAAGAACAAGAAAGGTGCCAAACAACAGAAATTTATTCAGCAAGTAGAGAAGCAGGTAAAATCAGGTGGTGTTAATTCACGGAAATTAGAAGATCCTAATATTAAAAAACTTGAAAAAGAAAAAAAATTAAAGGAGCAGAAAGAATTAGCTCTCATATTTAAACCTGTGCAAACACAAAAAATAGATAAAGGTATTAACTGAGTAAGGTTATTGCAGCACTTAGTTAAAAGATATAATACAATTATCAAGAATTGTTTGAATATATTACATTAGCATAAGTTCTAATATTCACAGTTATTTTATTGTTTTATTATTTTTATCTTATTATAGATAAACACAAAAAGAACATAACAAAATAGTTATTTACTTTTTTGCAGGAACTGATCCTAAATCAGTAGTATGTGCATTCTTTAAACAAGGACAATGTACAAAAGGTGATAAATGCAAATTTTCTCACGATTTAAGTATAGAAAGAAAAGCAGAAAAACGTTCATTATACTGTGATATGAGAGATGATGATAAAGAAACTGATACCATGGATAAATGGGATGAAGATAAATTGAAAGAAGTTGTTGAGAAGAAGCATGGCAGTGGTAATCGTCCAACAACAGATATTGTAAGCTCAAATTCATAATATTTTGCTACTAGTTTTTTGAAAAATGAGAAAGTAAATAATATGTTTAATTTTAGATTTGTAAACATTTCCTAGAAGCAGTTGAAAAATCAAAATATGGTTGGTTTTGGGAATGTCCATCGGGGCAAAAATGTATCTACAGGCACGCATTACCACCAGGTTTTGTCCTTAAGAAAGATAAAAAGAAAGAAGATAAAAAAGATGAAATTTCCTTAGAAGATTTAATTGAAACAGAAAGAGCCAATTTGGGACCAAATCAAGTATGAATATATTTTAATAATCTATAAAACAATATAATATGAACTTTTATATTTATATTTCATAAATATTTTTAGTATTTTAATATATTTTTAAATATAAATATTTTAATATATTTTCTTAAAATGTATAATTTGTTTGACATTTTCTGGCAGACTAAAATAACATTAGAGACATTTTTGGCATGGAAGAAGAGAAAACTAAAAGAAAAGAAAGAGCAAGCACTGAAAGATGAAGAAAAAAGACGGAACGATTACAAAGCTGGACGTCAAGTTGGTATTTCTGGCAGAGAAATGTTCTACTTTAATCCTGAGCTTGCAGCTGGAGATGGTATTTTTCTTTATTGTTTTATATCTTACATATTTTATGTTCTTAGCACATGTATAAAATTTACTTTGAAAATATTTTTAGGCATTGACGATGGAGACGAAGCAATATCTAGTTATGTCCGCGAGGAAGATGAGACTGAAGAGAAAGTAGAATATAGAGAACTTGACATGGACAGACTCGCACTTGAAGCTAGTGAAATTGATACTTCTGGAATAACTGTAGCTGGTGCAGATCGGTTGAAAAATAATAAAGATATAAACAACGAAAGCGGCTCCACTGGTTTGTAGAAAATATATTCAATGTTTTAAAATAATATTTTGAGATTAATAACTTATATTATTATGGCAGTTACTGTTGGTGAAGGTGCAGCTGCATTAGCAATTAATGAAAACCTATTTAAAGAGGAAGATTTAGAAGGCTTAGAAGAAGAATTAGAAGGTTTAGATTTAGAAGAGTGATTCAAATATCATGTTCAAATTCTTCCTTTTATTCAGTGTCTTCTGTATCTTTACAATATATGTATTATTAAAATATTATACATACATTTACTAGTACAAAATGTAATGTATCTTGTATATTACTACTTACATCTTATACTCTATTTTCAAGCAATATACATACACATAATATAATGTGAAGAGCTGGTCTCGTGCAAATTACTTGAAATTGAAATTAATGTATTTTAATGTAATTATGATTTTTAATTTTTTACGATAAAAAATATAACCGAATTCTTTATTATTGCATTCATAAATTATTTAGTGTTTCTATGAGAAAAAGATATAAGTTGGAAAATATATAAAATTGTTACAATCGTGCAAGTATTTAAAATAATAGTTGTTAAATTACTTTTAATAACGTAATTGCGGATTTAAAATTGATAGGTTAACCTGGTAAAATTAAAATTTAATGTGATAACGAGACTGGCAAATGGAACGAATCATATTTTCAAAAATATTTACACGTATAATTATTAACAGCAGTATAAATATTAAATAATTTATAAATTCTTTTGATTTATTAAAACATTCATGATATATGTGAATAAAAGTAAACATAAAAAAGAATAGCAAAAATGAAATTATTGTTATTTATGTTTATTTTACAAGATTTCAAGGCAAATTTTAGTCTGTACATTCCACGACTTCTATATCCTTTGTATCAGATAATGATACTATGCGGCGTGATGCACGATATTCATAAAAACTTATTTCTGGGTGCTTTTCTAATAAATATTTATATGCACTAACAAGTTTATCAATATCCTCTACTGTAAGTTGCATTGGTCTTGTTTGTGGGTTCAAATCAGAAAGTTTATACATCATTTGTCCCAATTCTTTCCGATATTCTAGAGGAAATAATGTTCTGAAATGTATATAAAAATTTCAGAATTGTATTACTGAATTCTATAATTCTTTTCATTACTCTTATAACTATTTTTTACCAATATAAAATATGATAATATATAAAGGATAAATTGTTGAATGTAAAAATATTTTTCTGTGATCTTTACTTACTCTATACCTCGTATACTATATTTTTGACGAAAACTAAAAATGTGTCGTGTAACTTTCTCAAAAATTGTAAATTCATGTTTTGTACGTGGAACAGTTAAAGGTACAAATGTTACAACACCAACATCAACATCCGGTTTAGGAACAAAGGAACTACCTATTTTTAGCAAAAATAAATGTATTAAATTTTTTATGAACAAAAAATGTAAAAACTAAACAACCTAAAAAGATCTGAATTAATATACCTGGTATAATAAAATGTAATATTGGTTTTGTCCAAGCTTGTGCCATTACAGACAATCTACATCTTTGTAAATCTGATGGTTCAGCTATTAATCGTTCAGCAACTTCTTTTTGAAATGTTAATGTCATTCTAGTTCTTCCAAATTCCCAAGGGCCAGTTCTTTCACAAACTGCATGTAGCCACTTTATTATCAAAGGTGTTGATATATTAAATGGTAAATTACCAATTAATCTAATTCTTGGATTTTTATCTGTCCAAGCTTTTGCTTCAGTTCGTGGGAGAACAGTAGTCATGTTAAACCTCATTATGTCATCAAAAATAATTTCCATGTTACCATTAACCGCTGCAAAAGCATCTGCCAACATTTCTAACGTCGGCTCAAATCTTTTGTCTTTTTCTACGACAATTACTTTATTTGGTTGATGCTTTAAAATAGATCGAGTTAGTCCACCAGGACCAGGACCAACTTCTAATACATGACAATCAGAGAGATTTCCTGTTTTTCTTATTATTTTATCTGACAAATTTTGATCTAAGATAAAGTTTTGAGAAAGCTGTTTCACTGCATGCAATTTATATATTTTTAACAAATTTTTTATACTTGGTAAAGGTGGTAACCTTAGAGTTGACATAGTTCTTTTTTTATTTGTATTTAGATAATATGTAGGTAAGAGTAATGTCTCATAGGATACAAATACAAATAATTTTAAGCGACATTAGTTTTTGAACTAGGTTTTTCAATTATTTTTTCAGGTTCATATAGATCATTTAAAAATGTTTCCTGTTTTACAGCATATATGGTATACAGATAAATTCCTAAAGATAAACCAGCTAGAGCAAAACCTGCTTTTGCACACTTGTTACGTCTTTTTGCATATTGGGATGTTCTTTGAATAGCTGCTTCTTCTGCTTGTTTCATATATATTATATCACTATATTTTAATTTACTTTTATCTCTTACAAGATCTAATTTTGGCATCAAGTCACTATCTTTCTCATCTGTAACAAAACTAATATAAATAAATAGAAAATTTGATAATGTAATACTTAACAAACATTAATCTTGCCATTCACCAGATTGCATTGTATAAATTTCTCCTTTTTTTGATAAGCAATCACACTACTGTGGTTATTATTTTCGCGTTTTTGTTTCTGTTAAAAGAAATGATTATATAATTATAAAACACAACTTCACATAACCTTTATCAGCTCAGCCTAGCTTTATAAAAAATTACTATACTGATGTAATATACGTAAATTCTGTATTCACTCACAAGACTATAGCAGTACTTTCACCTTAATTAATAACAAAATATCTTATATGTAATTTCTTTTGTGGAAACTTTGTAAAAGTTATGATATAATACAGTTTTTCTTAATTTAAATAGTATTTTTCAATACTATTTATTATATATATCTAAAAAAATATAGAATTACATATACTATATATTTTTTTACAGAAACTCAATAATCACATTTACAGAATATATCATATTTCCATTTTTTTCACTTACCTTCGATCATTTGGTTTATTTCAAGTTTCAGCGCATGCGTTCAATTCATATATATATATACACACACACACACACAACCACACATACGCAACCACACATACACAACCACACATACAACGCCCCCTCCACACACGCGCGCGCACGCACGCACGCACGCACGCATGCACGCACACACGTTCATACATACATACATGTATTGAAGCTTATGTAAGATAATACAAAACAGCATTATGTTAGAAAACAGTTTTTTAAAATACTAGCTTGATTATTAGTTATTAATACGAATATAAAATATAGAAATATACAGAAAGCATAAATTTAATTCATTAATTGTCTATTAGTATGCATACATGCCGTAATGTCTCTATTGTAATATGTACACAACATGTACGTACGTAAATATTTACATTGCCAAAATGTTATAAGAAAAATGATGTTTTCTTTACTTAATATTCTTAATAATGAAAAATTATAGATTTCTGTTGATGATATAAGAATTAACATAAAAATAGTCTTCCAAAGAATAAGTTGTAAAATGTCCAGGAGGCTAAATATTATCTTAATATATTTGGAAAACATTCGTATGAATAATTTAACATATATAGTTGATACTTGTTTACATTACTAAATTAATTTTTCGTTTTCGCATATTTTTCACGAAAGAAATTATCCGGTACAAAATTTATCGTACTATAGCTTTATCTGTTTGGACCTAAGGCGCTTCGCTGAGAGATTCTCGTGTAATCACATAGTTACTTCAATTTCCTTGATAATCCTTTCGCATTACTGTTACGAATTACTGTCGGCACCAGTTTCACGACAGCAAACTTGCATCTATGATAATCAGAATTCGCGATTTGTATAACTTCTTCTGATTTACTTCAAAACATTGATTATTTACAAAGTATACATATTCTCTAATGAATTTAATTTTACTTTATATGTTTAACCATATTTTAAATAAAACTAAAAGGAAATGAATGTATGTTGACTAGAATTAATGCATTTTTAATTAGTATTGATTTTTTAATTGGGATATTATAATATATAGGTTATATTTGCGTATAAAAATATGCATCGACGAATATATTTTTACGATTTTGATGAATATTATCAAATCAATGATAAAAATCAGTAATTTCAGCTAAGTTAATTTTAAATTACAATTGCATTTGTTCAATATTAATATACACCACGAATATTCCCTGCTGCATTATTGATTTTTCCATTGTACTTTCCGAAGATCACAAATTTCATTAATTTTTACATATTTTATTAATGGTGTATAAGTCTTAAAATATTGAAATACTTTATCGTTGAATACTTTACCTAAATATTTTCCTGCGATTATGTTTCAGCATATTTTAGGCTTAACTAAGTATTTTTCTTTCTATGTAGTTATACCTACTAATTTTTGTACATGATTATTCGGCAACCTAAAAATGAAGTTTCAAGTATTTATATTATTTAGCAGAAATTACACTATTATTTTCTTTTTATAGCATATTTAACAGTAATACGTAATGTTGCGAATGTGTTAACTAAACTGCTTATTAGCTATGTTAGTTATGCATTAAATATAGCAATACAATGGATGTTAATATATCTTCTAAATTATAAATACTCGTATAGTTTCAAAATGTTTCATGCTTTTAAATTTACAGGATTATAACAAACAAATATCTGTTATTTTTCCTTCACTTCAACAACAAATTTTTGCTACGTTATTGCGTTAATGTTTCAAACTAAAAGTTTGTGTTTTACGAAAGGTAGTTTGCTAATATTAATAATAGTAATATGTCGTATCTAATCAAATCCAAAATTTGCCATTTCGATTCCATATACGTCATACGTCAATTGCATATTTTTAAATCGATTAGTTGATTACGTAATTCATACCTAACCAGTTGGCTACCTAATTACACGTTGAACGCTATTGAAATAATCAATAATCGGTAACGCAATTCGGTTTAAATAAATAATGACGACACAAAAATGAATTACAAAATCAATATACTAGAAACGTCTAAGTACGAGATTATAGCGAAGCGGCGAGTAGTGGTGTGAGATCTGAAACAGTTCGAATCTCTATCGTGTATGCGGCGACAAATTTGAATAACTTCGAATAGGATTCGAAGCTTAAAACTCGTAAAAGTCTCCATTGAGTCTTGAATCATAATTCGAATTGTTTCGGATCTCATTGCTACACGCCGCCATCCTCGCCACTCGTCGCTGCTACTATATTCGTAACTTAATAAAAAATACATAAAATGAAATAAAATAAAACAAGATAAACAATTTGCAAAAGGATAAAGCTGTGATCGAAAAGTTTTCAACAAAAAAAAAAAAAAAAAATTCGTTGCACGCTAAACTACCAATTACGAACTACCAATTACTAATAAAGTAAGTATTTAGGTACTGATAACTTATTAATTACAGCGCTAATTACGACGTAATTAGTACCTAATTGTCGAAACTGAAGTTGGGGCATTGTTAGCGGATTTTAAAATGGCTGTGGTTGAGGCAGTGGATTAGGTATTCAAGGGACAGCTTCATAAGCTGCCACACGATGTTCGTGCATTGCGTTTTTTAAAGAGAACCTCAGGCAGTTGTGAGAAGATCTGCGACCCAGCTCGACAATGCAAGATAAGGGAATGCCCGTGGGATCTTCTAGACGTGCTTTCGAGAATGACTCACGGGTATACCATGGGTATAGTGCTGAAGTCTGACACTGCTTGGAAAGATCTCCTCGGACTATAGTGTTAGTTTATTCTGTATACATCTCTAATAAGATAGACACGTAAGTACGATGATCTTCAATGTGTTGCCTAAAACAGATTTTTAAGCGGATTTGATATGAATTTTAGATAGCTAAGTGTAGAGAATTTTAAATTGACTTACGTGAGTTCAAAGTGGTGCAAATGGAAAGAAGGTCTAATCAAAAGCACAATCGTCTTTCGTTTTCATGAATACGATTTTACAAAGATAATTTGACCAATCCTTAATTAGAGAGAAGAGGAGGATCTGCAGAAGATCATTCTACATGTGAAAATAAGTCAAAAATGAAGAATGAAATTTTTTCGCTTTTATTTTATTGTTATATTTAACTTTCTATCTTATTGTATATATAAAGTTCTTTAAAAGAATTCTGAAGAGAATCGCTCCTTTAATTATTAAGCACGCTAAACAATCTGATTTGTTTGAACGACAACGATATAAGTGATAATGCTTATTGGACGTTGTACAATCTTTATAAGATATAATGATATTAATCTGATTTAAGATAACAAGTAACACGAACAAAAGTTTCATTTCTTCAAACTTTGGTCAAAATTCGATTCCAGAAACAAGTCAGCAAGATTCATAGAATAGGGGTAAATTTCATAACACGTGCTAAATATTAAAACGAAATCTTCGAGATTCGATCTGCAACAGATTACCCTACACAAGGTATATATTTTTTTCTCGAACAAAATGCTCTGCCTGTTAGATCGAGTAAAATGAAGTTTCCGGAAGTGCGGGCCATGTACTCGCTAGTCTGATGAAACCTGAATATTTGATAACGTTGCATTACGTTAACAGCGTCGCTTATCTATTTTAATGGATTGTAAGGTAAATTGAAACATCCGACTGTGCCGACAAAACCCGCTGCACGGTTGAAGCTTGTATTAATAGTAATTTTTCGATCCCGCGGCAAAACACCCGCGACCGCATGGGGAAAAACCAACAAAAAAGTAGAAAAAAGAAAAAGCGAGAAATTGAAAGTCAAGGGGAACAAAGCGTTTTTCACGCGTACCTTTTTTCTCCGCAATGAAAAACCGTCGCGTGTGTCAGCTGTTTACATAAAATTGATCGATATATCGCGCAGGGGAGAAACGTTTCGATTTTTCTGGGTATAGGAAACGCATCAGTTTACAAAGCGGGTCGCCAACGATCTCCGCGTATAATACAATCGTGAGCTTTTATTTTCGACGAGCAACAAGCACTGTTTCTGAAAATTCTATTTCGTGCGTCGTTTTTCACGTTACCTGCAGCCGGTTCCATTGCTCGAATTTTCCAACCAATTGACCCCTTAGATGCAGGCCTTTGTCTCCTGTCCTACCCATATCTATTGTCCTCTCGTCTGTTTTTCGAGGACCTAGCGAAGAAGTCAATTTCGAAGTAACGACAACAGCAGAGACGAAGATGCATCAAAGCGCCAACAGTTTCCTTTTCGCGCCATCAATTTTTTCGTTATTAGAAGCCAGGAGAAAGTTTGACGGGAATATCGATAAAGTGGAACCGTGAATTTAGGTTAAGCCTTCGTTAGGAAATTTTATTTCGAGGGGCGAAAGCGAATCGATCGATGGATAATAGTCTCGTACCGTTAATCGACGTTGCGATATATTTCTGCATCTTAAAATCATCTTTTATCCTTTATCGAGCAAAATCTGTCAGAGAAATGCGCAATTTTCTTTTTCTAATATTTCGATGCGTCTTTGCGTCACGTAGCTTCTCGTTTGAACGAACCGTTTCTCTGTGTTCTCGTAGAAACGACCGAACCGGTACTAGGGGGGTTGCGAGTTTCTGCTCCTTCTTTTTCAAGCTTCACCGGCTCGACGCTAAGAGAGAAAGTTTCGAAAGATCCCTCGGAATCGCGATTGTCTGTCCGTGGAGGACGCGGATCTCATTTCAACCCCCGTGCGTTCCGTCCACGTGCGTGAAAATGCGCGCGAATAGGGAAGGTGCGCCTCGTCGTCGGGATCCCTTGGGTTCTCCCGAGGATATTCCACCTGGTCGACAGTCTTTTTCCCTTCTCCTATCCGGGAGAGAAGGACGAGCTTGCGCCTTGAGCTGAGGTTCGCGGTGGGACGTGAGAACGGCAAGAAAGAGAAAGATAGAGCGAGGACGAGGGATATAGAGGCATCGTGTTCAGAGAGAGAGAGTTCGTTTTAGAGTCTGCGAGTCGAAGTCACGGCTGACAGAACCGTATTGAGAACGAGAGGAAACGGCATTGAAGGGGATTGAAGGAGCGAAAAGGACGATCGTTGAGGAGGAGGGTAAAGAGGGAAGAGGGTAAAAGGAGTATGAAAAGGGGCGAGAGGTAGCGTATAGAATAGGCGAGCTTTTTCGGCAGGCGCGTTCGAAGTGGCGGGGGTTGGCGAAACGGGGGTGTAAGGAGAGCGCCAGGCAGAAGACAGGAGAGGCAGGAGAGCCGGGAGAGACGGGAATCGGAGGG